ATGTGGACGCACATTCCTGTACCTGCAACCAGAACTGTTTTTCACGCGGTCCAATGTGATCGGTTTGCTTTCATGGTTCTTCATGCTACCACCCCCAAACAGGTTTTCGCGCCGCTGTGCAGTCGCTTCCACTTGCGCTTGCTGTAACACTTTTGTTAAACAATACTTTTCTGCGGACTCATGCGCCTTTCCGTTCCTTCACCTTCCTTCTCGACGTGGGAATTGAACTAACTGAAAACCAATGTCAGAATGTCAGAGTGTGTGTGTGTGTCCACCTCTGTAACTAAGAGTTTCCGTTTTCTCAACTTTTAAGTCGCAGGTGGCGTGACGGTCGATTTCCTAGTCACGTCAACGAAGCTAGGGAAATCGACTGGATGGAAGTTTGGATGCAAACTTCTGTACCTGCGCGGATGAAAACTTTTGCACACGCTGTGACTCCACTTTTCCTTTTGTTGTTTCCATGGTGGTTGTTCGCATGATATCCCCCAAAACAGGTTTCCTTAGCTTTGGTAAAGTGCTAGTGCGTTTGTTAAACAGTTCTGTTCTTCGGACCCTTGCACCTTACCGTTCTTGCAGTACAGGGCTAATGCAGTAACTAGCTTCCGCAGTCAAGTGTGAAACCACTTTGTTCAAACACCTACAAATGCTTGGACTCTCCGCCTTTCTGTTCCACCACCTTTCTTTGACTTGGGAACTGAGTTAACAGCAAACCAATGTCAGAGTGTGTCACACTCTGTTTCCAAGAGTTTTTCAATACGCAGGGGCGTCAGGCTCGACGCACCTACCTGACGCAACGAAGCTATGGTGTGTCGAGGGAAGCAGTCAGAGACGTCTGACTGTGTACCTGCGAATGCTTCACAAGCTGTTATCCATTTCTTTCCTTGTTTGTTTCCATGGTGGTTCTCATGATACTTCCCCCAAAACCTTTTCCTTCCGCTGCCCTCACCGTTCTGCAGACGACTTGCCGCCACGTTGATTGTACAGATCGAGCTTGCATCTTTGTGCAAACAATGTTCAACCATTCTGTTTCGCTGACCCTTTCACCTTGCGTTTCCCTCACCATTTTCGACCTGGGAATTGAGTTAACTGAAAACCCATTATCAAAGTGTGTGCCGCTGTGCCGTCCCACGTGGGTGCACAGTGTGATCCCCGTCACTGGGGCGCTGTTTTCTTTGTTTTCTGCTTTCTGCTTTCTGCGCGCGTTGGATTATCTTAACGGATTTTCGTTTCACTACTGTATTCTCAAAATCAAAGCCGCCGGGCTTCACGGAAATTCAATACCGCCGGGCTTACGGAGACTTAACCCAGACGCGTTCTCTACTCACACGCCCCAACCCCCCCCCCTCTAATTAGGGTAACAGAGGGAAATGGTGCTCGACACACTTGTGTGTCGGCGCCTGTCCCTCTGTTGTCCCTTTCTAGTCTACTCTACCCGGGCGGTGTAAGACGAAAGTCCCTATTGCACCTAATTCACTTCTGCTAAGTAGTAAGTAACTCTAAATTGCTAGGTAGTCATACACACACGGACACACACATGTTACATACATCCCCTCCCTGCCCCCCACTTTCTTTCTTGCGCTTTTCGTCGTTTGTTCTTTTGAGCTTTCTCTCAAGTCCAAGTTTTTAAGGTAATTCTTGAGGTTTTCTGTTTTTCTTTCTTTTCTAAGGCTTTTAGGTGCCTATTTAGGCTTTTACGCCGGAGCGCCGCAAAGCGACAGAGTGTGTGTGTGTGTGTCACACTCTGTTTCCAAGAGTTTTTTCAACACGCAGGGGCGTCAGGCTCGACACACCTACCTGACACAGCGAAGCTATGGTGTGTCGAGGGAAGCAGTCAGAGACGTCTGACTGTGTACCTGCGAATGTTTCACAAGCTGTTACTCCATTTCTTTCCTTGTTTGTTTCCATGGTGGTTCTCATGATACTTCCCCCAAACCTTTTCCTTCCGCTGCCCTCACCGTTCTGCAGACGACTTGCCGCCACGTTGACTGTACAGATCGAGCTTGCATCTTTGTGCAAACAATGTTCAACCATTCTGTTTCGCTGACCCTTTCACCTTGCGTTTCCCTCACCATTTTCGACCTGGGAATTGGGTTCACTGAAAACCCATTATCAAAGTGTGTGTCAGGCTTACCAAGCACTTAGTAGTGGGGATGGGTGGCACTACATGGTGCTTGGGGAGCCATACAGCTAATTCGTGTGCGCAAATCGCACATTTGGGGAGGTTTCCGGTTGTTTTCCCGACAGCTCGAGCTGGGCCTTCTCGATGTGAAGGAAACAGAAAACGGGCCTTCTCGGCTTGGACTAGAACGGCTTCGACTAGCTACTAGTAGCGGCTATTGCGCCTGTGACTCCATGTGTGTTTTTGTTGTTCAGATTGTTTCAGTAGTGATTCCCTCACTGGGATTTGATGAGCAGCATCTGGCTAGCTTTGTGTGTGTGTCACTGCCCAAAGTTCTCAACGGACTATGTCAGAGAGATGCCCAGTAAACTGAGCAGGACTGAGCATAAATTTACCTGGCCAGCTGGCCACTAACTCGTCAATCAATGATAGAAGATCTAACATACTAGCCGCATCGTGTCTGATGAAACTATTGTTTTCCCTGTTCCACGACCTGACAGGCTGTGAGGAAGAAGTACATGCTGCAACAGTGGCCAAGCTGCAGATACTTCGGAGAATGGTGCGTGATCGCAGCACTCCGTGGATCAGCGAGGCGCGTATTCAAAGGTATTCAAAGGGGTGGCGACAGATTACCGGTCTCCAGATGTCATTCTCGGCGAAGTGATTGTTATACCATTTGTTTTTACTTAGAAGTTGTACGTTTCATGGATATGATGATGGATATGGATATGGATGTCCCCCGGCATGTTCTGTGGTTTCCAAACAATTGCTCCACCCTGGGCGTTCATACAATGGCCACAAATGGACCAAACCATGTAGATGTGCTTAGTGATGTGCATATTATATAGGTGACGGCGTCCCCCCCCTGTGCATACATTCAGGTCTTTGGCCACCCCCAGCCTTTCATACATGTCCCTAAAATCTCAAAACGGTGTTTCCAGAAACACTGAGGCAACAAAAACAATGTAATTATATATGTTGTATTGAGACATCCATTTTCTCTATGTCAACCGCAGCTGGTCAAAAAAATGTTTTTTTCAACAGAAAACCTTCCCCCCTTTGTGGAGATAGACCCGGTGATCTCCGTGGTCTTGTGTTTACATGTTGGACTGGCTGGCCTGACCTGTTGGACTAGCTGGCCTGACATGACGCCATCCAAAGTTCGAACTCTTAGACTCTTGTCCACTGGGATGCAGGCAGAAAGGGTGGGTGTGGCAGAACAGGCATTCCGAGATGGCTCGCAACATCTCGCAACTCATTGAACCTGCCAAGGCATCATCAGGTTGCGAGAAATGCCGTGCTGGCCAGCGCCTAGGGAGAGAAATGAGAGGAAAGCCGATCGAATGAGCAATGCGTGATCTTGCGTGATTTGGTGTCAGACTGTTTCGAAAATCATGTCATAATGCATGCAGTGATTCGCTGAACAAAAAGGAATGTCATTGCTCTCGGCCTTGCACGCAAGGGAGCAGACAGAGATTTGCTTCCCATTAGCTCAATGCTCGTTTTTTACCTTCCGAGCGATGCAACAACGGCTGTCGCTCGAGAGCAATTTATTGCACCGGCCCGCCATTTGCCTGCGCACTGCACGCGAATTTCTTTGGCAAGTAGCCACGGTGTGGAAGGAATTCGACAATTTCCAGACCAAATGCTGGGATTATCAGCTGACCATAGTGGAATTGGGACAGAGATTCAGACAAATCGTGACAGATCAAATATTGCTGTGGCCTTGCGCCAATTCAGACGGGCCTGAATCATTTGCATGACAGTGCAAGCGAATCTCCAATTCGCCATCTTTAAAAGAGCCACACACCACTGCATGTGAACATTTTTGCAGCTGAAGTTTGAACAGGCCATGTGTATCCCGAGGTTTTTTTCGACACCCTGACTGGGTACGTACATGCTTATATATGAATATGAAGTATCCCCATCTCATTTGCTAAGTGAAGTTCTTTGGGTCTTCCACCCGGGTCTTTGTTGCCTCAGCTCCACCCCCCCTCCGCCTCCATCGCCTAACTGCGCGAAGACTCGTCGCCTCAGGTTGGCTCTTCGATGACCCACGGCTGGACCAATCCATCGCAGAGCCGCCGACCCGGCCGAGTTGCTTTTTGGGTGGGAAGATTCCAAGGACGAACCGAAGAACAGGTTTTCCCGGAAGAAACGGTATGGAACACAAATGACGTTTTTCGGACGCCACGCCAGTTCTGAGGTTGGTCAAACAATCACCGTTAGGGTGGGTGATGCAGGAGAGACCACGAACAATAAGCCACGGTCGACCCCACTGTGAGACCTTTACTCCGCTGGCCCCTGCCGCTCAGCCTCGCTCAGCGGCCAGGTTGCAGAGTGTCAATCACTTGGCCTTTTCGCCACAGCAGCTTGGTGCATCATGGAGCTGTGTGGTTCAGGCAAAAAGGGATGCTTTAAGGTTCAGGTGGTTTCGGAGTAGTGACGCACCATCCCAAAGAGGTCTTTGAACAAATTGGGGGGTTCCACCATGTTCCACAATGTTCACCCCTTTTGAAGATTGTGCCATCATCTCCTTCAACCACTGTAGTTGGAAGTGGAGAGGAACTCAGATGTGGTCCAACAGGTGAACATGCTTTTGGATTGATGGTGGGGCAGGTATGGGCAGGTGGGAAAGCATGTTCACGCAACGCCCACCACCCCAACAAAAAACACACAGGACACGCATGTTTGTTGGGATGTTTGTGTCATGTGTTTTGCACACTTTGTGCGTCATGTTTTCGAGAGTGAACAATGGCATGACACCATGAGCCTGGGTACAAGTATATATATACATGCATACAGAGAGAGAGAGAGAGAGACATGTTTTCGATTGCGTTTTGATGAGCTTGACAACATCGGTCCTTCCCGGCCTCGGCGTTAAGAAGAAGTGGGAGGCAAAGGGAACGGCGGGAGGGCGAAGGATGGCCATAGCGTGAACAGGAGTTGCCCCTAGAATTCCCACATGTGGGCGGATACCTGTTGACATGATGCCGTTGACATCCCTAGGCAGATGCCCTTAGCCTCCAGCCTAGTGAGTGAGTTCTACAATTACAGTAGTTATTGATCCATTGGTCCATTGGAGGGCGCTTTCAAATCTATGAGAGCCTGTTGTTTTCGGACCCGAGACTTTGTTTGCTCCTCGGGGAACGCCAGGAGTCAGAGCCATGTCGCTCGAACCATCGACCCGCGCTTGACGCATCAAGGTTCTACTTCATCGAGACCTACTATACCTGGGGCATGTTAGTCTCCTTACTATCAATTACCGTTTTCTTGCGGAAGGAGCTCCTTGGAACGGTCAGCATCGTCATCCAGTTTAGTAAACCGTGCTCAAACACAGCCTGTTCGTGTCATGAATAGTGTGTTTGTGCGCGCATTTTCCACACAGTTTTGCTTGAGGTTGGTGAACAGAAGGACGCTTGTTTGTTTCATGACCAAGTCGTAGAATGATTGTTGTGAATGGCTGGCAATGCCCCCACGCAATCCTATTCAAATCTATTCATTTTTTTGTTTTTAAAATCCGGTTTGGCCCTGACATTCCGTGACCGGTTATTACATATAATACACACGCTGTTGCACCAATGCACATACACTGTTTGTTGACCTCATGTTGACCGAAGTCGCTGAGTGCTGCTCCCCATGTGTGCACAACGCATTGATGTGGCGGGTGTGGTTAGTGGTTGACATTGGCTACGGTCACCGGTACACCGCTTTGCCCAGGCTAAATCCGCTGGATGATCCAGCGCTCTTCCTCCTGGTGGGTCAGATGTTCCTGTTGAACTATCTTTTGGAAGCTGGGCTTGTTACATCAACGGTTGGGTTGGTGGGTTGGCCGGCCATCATTGTCCAAGGATATTGAATGTATCCAGAATGAACACCAGAAGGACTGGCCTTTGGGGCCAGCAATGCCATACTTCTCAGGCTTGCCCAAGATCTGTCCTGACCAAAGGATCGATTGTGCGAAGGGGACGAGCTTTCCTACTGTTCAACAGGGCATTCATCGATGTGAACCGCGGAATTGGATGGCCTGGAAGCTATTCTAGACTCACTTTCACAGCGTTTTTGCTTTCTGGTTCCCTTGTGCCGAGATCTGTGAGATGCCAATGAGATGCTGTGGCGAAGACTGATTGACGAGATTTGGTGGATTAGACTGATGTAGCAGAAAGCGTTACCCCTGAAGACTAATAGCATAGACCCTGCAAACCACTGGTTTGCATATAGAGGAAAACAGTCTTACTTTGAGGGTGCTATTCTCAGGTTCCATGTTATTCTTCCCGGGTGTACCGTTTTTGACCTTCCGTGGTGCAGGAAGCGGGCCGGGCCAGGGATCGCGTACCGACTGAGGATCGCATGATTCGCTGGCTGACCTCTTCCGTGACTTGGGACCAATGCAACCACTCATTAGCCGAAACCCCTTTGAAAAGACCCAAGAAGTACCCCTGCATCTAGAACAAACACGGATTCAGATTTGGTGATTTGGATCAGCTAGAATCACATCTACTTTTCTAGCCCGCCAAATCATAAGCTTTTGGTTCCTTTCGTCCGAGTCCCGTCTACGAAGCCTTTTGGTGTTCGTAGAAGGACCGGTGCTGACCGTTCGTCGTCGGACGTCAGACGCGTTGCCGGTCCACGTGCTTCGAGCCGGTCACCATCACCTGCCACGAGTTCGGCCCTTCAGGTTCTTTGGAAACCCATGGACAACAGCAACTTCCGCATTTTCAGCCGTTCAGTAGCTCTGGCCCTCCAACGGAAGGCGAGAGAGAAGAGAAATTAAGAGTATGGGGATGAAAAAGATTGAAAAAGAGCGAGCTGCAATGATGGCCAGCACGGGTGAGAACATTGGCGATTCATTTGAAGTCACTATGGAGTTTTACTATCTATTACTATCTCATAAAGTGGCTACAAGTGGCTTACCCATGTTTATGTGTTTTGGGCGGCCAATTGTCCAACGACTTCAGAGTAAGAGCAGCATTTAAGTGGACATGGATCATGGATCGAGCATCGGACCGACCTGGCCACTTCTAAAGGACCGACCTGGCCACTTCAGGATGCGGCCGTGGCGCAAGAGAAGTACCGCCAGTGGTTTTGGCAGCGCCATTCAGGCCAAGAGACCGTCTGGAATTGTAAAGAGGTCCGTATTTTAACCACCATTTCCACTCAGCTGGGCACCCATTTCTACTCAGCTGGGAACCCCATGTTTGTAGATTTATAGTCTAGTCCTATCTCCCAGTTTCACTAAGTATTGAGAGATTTGACTCCAGATTTCACCTGCCGATTTGGTCTTGTTTTGTGCGTTTTGGGCAGCTGTTTGATTGGAATTTCAGCCTGGGCCTGTGGCTGAAAAAACGATTCGTTGGCTAAATTTTGCAGGAAGAGAAATGCAACACACGGCCATAGGTGTCACATGACAGACTCATTCGCGTAGTCGACTGCTTGAATGCCAGGTTGGTTGGTGAGCCACTTGAATGACATCTTCACACCACGCTCAAGGGAGCGCTACAAGGGAAAGCTCAGCCTCCTCTACCAGCAAGCCTTGCAGCTTCAACCGGCGCCACAGCCTTCAATTGGTTGATCTCGATCATGCAATTGTGAGCCAAGTGGTGCTGTTGATGAGAACGCCTCCATTGTGTGTGTGTGTTTTATGTAACCTAGACCCCGCAAAAGACGTCTTTTCCCCCCGGTGGGGGCAATTTTCAGGCAAAGCCCGAAAGGCCAACACAACAAGCAGATTTGGTATCGATGTTTGTTACTTTTGCGTTGATGTTTGTCACTTCTGCGTCATTTTGGTGTCATGTTTTCTATCGCGCACTTGCTGCTTTTTTCTGCGTCATGTTTTCTGGCGAGATGGAAGAAAAACATCGTTTCAGGGTCCAGGTGTATATATATATATATACGTATATATTATATATATATATACATGTGTGTATAATAGCAATTATGTTGCTCAAAAACAATACATATATATATATATATTGCATTTTGGGGGGGATCCCGGATTCCGATTTGGCCAGTAAATAGATGTGAGTGCTTTATCTCCTCAGGCTGTTGTTGTCTGCGCTTAACAGCAACCACATGAGTTTTGTTCTCCAGACCCAAAGGAGAGTTGTGTTGGATGCTTTTTTGCAGCTTCCGGCTTTTGAGGGAGAAATACTGATTTGGCGGTTTGGAGCACGTACTTGCAGACATCCAAACTTCGTGACAGCACTACCACTACCCTATAAAGATTGACTTCATATGAGTTCATACGGTCTTGCACTCTGACAACGCAACCTAGTGACCTAGTGCGTTCATGCGGCCCTATTTGATCCTTCCCAAGTTACAAAAACATTGAGAACCCTGATTTGCATGTGTTTTCTTGGATTCGGGCGTTGTTTGTATAGCGTTCTAGGGAAGTTGTTGGCAGTCCTGACAGCGGTTCCTTTAGCTTTGGTGTTTTCTGATGAGAATAAGAGACACTGTAGGCGACGCCATGCGCATTCGGCACCCAACTCTGGGGGTATAACTGTAGAACCCTTTTGGGTTCTTGCTGTGGCGAGTTTAGGAGTTTCAGGATGTTCATATAAATAATCCCGGCGCTCTCCAACGTTCTTTGATTTCCACGAGAAGTTTCCCCGATTTGCAAAAGATCATGGACATTGCAAGGTGTGGGCCCAGGGGAGTACAGTTTAAGCTGGCCCCGTCAAACCCTCCGCTACATCAGGTGAGACATGGCTTACCACCAACCGGGGGGGTTAATTGTTTCTCCCAAAGGTTTTTGCATGTATTTAGCTGTTCAACCAAAGCCTTGCAGCCTTGCATAGTCGTGCTCTCACTGTCCCATTGATGGTTCCACTTACTTGTGAGGGCACCGCGAGGTGTTTTGTGCGCACAGCCGAATTATTAAGGTGTTTTATTTGTTGGTTCCCAGACTGCTTTGCCATTAGTTTCTGATCAGCCGGGCCAGATGTTCCCACCGGTTCAATCTGCCGAGTGGTCACCTCCTCGTGACGCTCAGACCCGCGTGTACAAGACGCCGGGCGAAGCCTTTCCAGAGCCCGTCGGACAACAAGAGCTGCCGGAGAACCTGCGCTTGGAGTACCTGGGCAGCCTGGGCTCCAGAAAAAATCGGGTGATCTTTAGCATAGGAGACCGTTAAAAACCGCGCGACTGGTCGGTTTCTTATGCTCCCCTACTTGCCAGCTCCAATGTGTATATGAAGCACGCATGGGGATACTTCTGTAGCAGCAAAGAGTTGGCCGATGTTGCCACCGAAGTTACATCTTCAGCTCTCACTTGAGCATTTTTAGAAAAACTTGACACTTCGAAGTTTGCACTGCACATGAAGATCGCTGGTACCCCCTTTTTAAGATTGCTAGTGACTGAGTGACTGCTAGTGCCCAGAAACCCATTCAGGAGTAGCAAATTTGCAAGAAGCTTTGGGTAAAATCCCCTTGTGCCCCTTTTGTGAACTGGACACCCTCTTTTTGAATCCCTTTTTATTCATGAAACGCCAACCGCAAATCTCTCCGACCGGCAGAGTCAGACTGCACGGCAGGCTGGAAGAGGATGAGTCTGATGACGACGAAAGCCAGAAAGCCCTGGCACTGGGGGGAAAGGCGCGATGGCTGGTGAGATGTTTGGGTCTCCGCTTCTTTGGCTTCTTTATCAAGCAGTCTAGCCGGTTGTAGTGCAAGCTGAGGGGTCATTGACGGATTGGTTCAGGCTTTCAAGCTTTATGAAGAGCCAGGGGCATCAATTGGCCAAACTACCCACATCTACTACCCACATCTAACCACTGGTGGTATGGTGCGGCAGCGGTGCTGTTGGTCATTCTGCCGTGCTGCCCGTGCTGCTGTTGGGTGACCATGAAGCCACTCCATCCGTCGCCGGCGGCCCGTCCGAAACGCGGACTCGGACCCGCGCAGGGCGGCTTATTCGGTGCCCTCACCTTGCCTGGTATCAAGAGCAAGCAGGGCGATGGAGAAGGACGCCCAGCGAGCGGACGACGCCCGTGTTCTCCCAGTCTTTTAGGGGTGATCGTAAGCGAGCAGCTTGGGTCTGTGAGCCCGGGAGCCCAAACGGAGTCTAGTCGCTTTCAGGTGCGATGCTTTGGATCAAACCAGGCTCCAAGAGTTCTGTTCTATAGGAGGTCAAATTGGATGGTGGGATCAGGAATGCCGGGGAATAGAGCAGTTTGAACCCCAGCCCTACTTTTGGGTCCACAATCCAACAAAATCGAAGAAACGATGCAAGCAAATGCCCACAACCCATCACAACCCCAACGAGAAACATATCGAAATACACATGTTTTATCATGTGTTTTTCTCCAGCGTACCTGGCACACTTGGCGCGTATTTTTCAGGCTCGATGCCGATTGGCATGCGAGCATCAGTGGCTTTGCGACGACTGGATATTCCGTCTTTGCCCCTCGGTTTTCGCAGCGGGCGGTGGAGCCATGCATGGCGGCGGAATCCGATCAAATTACGCTGTGTTCAGCACTGCTGTGTACTTAAGGTTGCACTTATCACACAATCTTTGATGGAAGTTTTAACGAGGTCCGGCATGCATTGTTCTGTTTGAATGTATCTTGTTGGTGGAGACACACGTTGGTCTCGGGAGATGGCACGTGGCACGTGGCACCAAGAAAGATGCAAAATTTGCAATCAAACATGCTGGACCATACTTATGGGATTTTGCCACGCGCATTGCCAATCTTTGCCATCATGAGCAGGACCTTCAGTTCGGGACCCCTTAGACTTCGTCTCTTTCTGTGACCTCTTCGACTAAGTGACCACATGTGACCTCAATCTCAAGGACGGTCACTAAATACCAGGTCCTGGAAGTGGTCCTGGTATATACAGTTAGTTCTTACATTCTCACTGAGCCCGCTGCAGGAGCCGTCTCCTTGCATCTCAGGCCGCAGATGCCCGTGGCGCCAGGGCCAGAGCCGGTGACGCCACCCCCCGAGATCGAGGACAACTGGCCCTTGCAGGCACATGGCGAAGCCTTAGAGCTGCCAGATGCTGGAGGCTCATCGATTGTACAGTGAGGTTTCTCAGAGTAGATGGCACAAGCTACCCCCAACTCGGTGGTTTAATGTGGTTTATGTGGAGCCCAATGTATAAAGGACATTTGGGGGTGCCAGTGCCATCTACTCTGAAACCAGTATACTTAGCTGGTGGGATGCCGGCTCCGCCCGCGTATGTTCCGAAGCCAAGGGGCCAAAAAGGAGGAAACTCATCGAAAGGCTGAACGAGCAAAGACCCGGAAACCCGGAAACTCATCAAAACTCCTTCAGGAAGCATCCGAACAAAGTCCTATTCCGCAACTCTCCATTCTTCTGAAACTTTTCTTCCGCAACCATTTGGTACTCTTCCGCAACATTCCGCAACTACTCTTAAGAAACTTTGTTCGTCATAAACTATTTTATTGCGCTCTTCACGATCTATTTTGCGATCTTCAGTAACTTATTTGCATGCTTCAGAAAGTATTCTTCAGAGCTTCTACCAATATTGTGACCAAATTTCGGGAAGGAGCACTGGGGGGGGTGGGGGGTGGGTCGGGTGCTGGGTTATTGACGTACCTTGTGACAGCTACGATATATACGTGCCTATTTGGCGATCTGCGGAAACTTTTTCGTGTAGGTTTGATGTTGCTCTTCGACTCTTCGTCATGTCCGAACATTAGTTATAGTTTCTGAAGAAAACCGTAATGAAGTTTCGGAAGATCACCTTTGATTTGCTGAAGATGAGTTTCCACAGAAAAGATTCCGAAGAAAACCGCAAAGTTTCCGAAGATTAATTGGATGGTCCTGGAAAAAAACATATGTTGTGTTTTTTCCTCCCGTTAGGGCCCTAACCAGAGGCCATCCGCCGATGCCAACCAAGGCTTTGGGCCTCTAGCCGCACTGACCACCACCGCCTGGCTCCGGGTGGCAAGACGTCGGCTCATCATGTCGCGCCAAGCCAAGGCGTGGAACGGATTCCAACAGTGCTTGGTTTTGTTTTTTAGATTGAAGCCGTTGAGGTATAGGTGAAGTTGATGGAAGTTCAACAGGGCAGTGCAACTATTTTGGTGAGAGGATTGCAGTGACAACTTCAGGTGGTTCCTCCCTGTCCTTCACTGCACTGTAGCATTGAATGTAGCACCTTCTCATACTGGCTGCAGTATGAGCCTCAAATTCCCGGGGTGATGTGATGAAGTGTAGTAAAGCAGAAGGACTTGGAAGGATGTCAAAATCACAGGAGTACACCATCGAGCAGCCTTTGAACGACGTGTGCGGTGGCTGTGCGGTGCGTGCCAATGACCCTTTCGTCAAGGATGTCCGGAAGAACTGACTTGGACATTTTCGTTGACTTCTTGATGCAGAATCAGGTATACTGAAGCTGTAGGACCATATTGGATGTCTTGAGGGACCGCCAAAGGCGTCGACAGAATGGCACACAGAGTGTCAAACCCAGACTATCCCACCCACCTGGAAGGACAAGAATGTCCTCAAGGTTTGAGAGCATAACATTCCCGTGAGGGAAACTTCTGGCATTTTCAATGAAAAACATCTTGGGGAGTCATGAGGGTTGAAAAGACAAGAGAGGGAAAGGGACATCCCGGAAAATGAAACATGAAAGGCCTGAGAATGCCTGAGACAAAGATAGACAGGATCAAATTAATCGGTGGGTAAAAAATATATATATATACATGTCAATTAGATTGGGGTCCAGCCCTATATGAGCTTGAAGTATTTATTGTTTCGAACATTTGACAAGAATCAATCCTGAACCCCAGATCTTTTCTTCAAGTTGTGCTTCTTCCAAGTCCCAGAAGAAAGAAGCAAAGATCATTTACATGAAGTAGGAAATAGGCTCGGTTTAGTATGCAAGGTGTGTGTAGGACATATGTTCAGGGATGAAAATGGTGAACATCGTCACGTTTAGTGTGAGAGCCTTCCAACATCTTCCAAAAGCGAGCAAACCTTTTATCACTTCTGGCACTTCACCCGGCATGGCAGCCTGCCCTGCGGGGCAGTTCACTCAAACACCGCGATCCAGGAGCGGGTTGGCATTTGGCAACACGGCCCTCGTTTTAAGGCTCCTGGATGCTGAAATCTATTGACTTGACCATTTGGTCGCCTGACAAATGCTGCAAAAGCGTAGAAGTCCCGTGTTTGGGAGAAACTGGACCAAGTTTCTCCACTTTCTATTCTGGATGTTTCCAGCCGTACTACCTGGCTGGTGGTTCCAGGCAGCTCATTTATTGAAAGCATGAGACCAATTTCCCTGTTTGTGCTCTTGAGCAAGACGTTAAGGTCTACATGACTGGCAATTTGCGTCAGCTGATGAACAGCTTCGAGCGGCACTACAACGCGCCCTAGCCTGTTGCGGAGAGATGTTCTTTTTATGTTGTTTTCCCTCTCCAAGTTGCGAGACCATTCCCCACACGACTTCCTATAGCGACCAACGCGACTCTACCTGCATGCCGGTCCAATCGATGTGTTGCAGGAGTAAATCTGAAGAATGAGGATAACAATAATGATTCAGAATGGATTTTCTAAGATGCATAATGCAGAAGCTCAAACATCATGTGATTCAATCGCCTCCGGGCCGGTGTTTGAGTCATAACCCTTCGAAGGCTTCGTAACCTCTCAGGTGCCGCCCATGCCTTTCATTCCAACGCCTGGGAGCTCAGGGTGGAATGTTCTCCCGACCGGGTGGTAACAGCAGGACAGACGCCGAAATCTTTGCTGATTGGAAGGGCTTGGAGTGTTTGGAGAAGGACATGGGCATATTTGGCATCCAATGACACATTTGGTCGCCGACCTTGTGACACCCGGCGAAGCCTGTCGGATCGACCCTCGGCCGATGTTCCTCCGGTCGCCACCACACCCGGTTGAGACGACGCTCGACCGACCGCGCCGTGCTCGAGGCAATGGCAAAATTGGTTGGACCGGCACCAGTGCTACCAAACTCTTTGTGTCCGCTGTGCATTGGAAAGAGGCTTTGACCCGCCGGAGGCCGGGATCGGACCGGAGCGGTGCGGTGAGCGACGAAGGAGCGGTGGTTTTTTTTGGAGGGCCGGGCGGGATGCGTCGGTTCATGTGGCAGTTACCGACCGGCGTGTTGTTTGGTAGGTTGTCTATTTCCAATGATGTCCAATTCTTATTTCAACGACCTTCTGTACGATAAAGACCCAACAAGTTGGCAGGGGTTTGGATATCTCCAGCGAGCTTGGCGAAACCACACCGCACCTGACGAATGTCTCAAGCTGTTGGCCATTGCAGCAATGTGCTCTTCGGGTGCAACAGGTGCATTAGACGGCCGGCCAATCGTTCAACTCGTTCAGTAAGACCAACGGTGGAACATGATAGACTTAACGACTAAATACATTGCCACCCCACACAGCTTGGAGCGTTCGTTTGTGCCATCTCCGCCTAGCGCCATTGCAGGCCATGACCCCGCCTGGCACGCCCCTGGCGCTACCTCAACAGACGCCCTTGACCATTCATGATCGTGAGGCCAGAGAAACCAATTGTCCTACCTGGCATGAGATGACTTGTGCACACTTCAATTCTTGAACAGCTTCGAAACGGTTTATGTTGCACTTTCCATTCGATGGACTGGAATAAGTGGTGTCACAAGAATGGTCACCTGTGGGGGGTCCGGAGGCAGCGAGAAAAGAACAGTTCAATTTGGTGAGCGAAGTCACTCCGGCAGTGTTGGCCTTCCTGCTTGCCTGCAGCACAATTGACTAGCTACTCAGAACCCGCAATTCACAATCTGAAGGTCCTTGATTTTGCATATATCTTGCAAAGTCAGTGAAAAACAAGTTGAACACCACACAGTTGGAACAGCCTCTCCCGGACTGGGCGCTCGGAGCCTCCGAGCCTCACAACACACCCGGTTTCATCCGACGAGGATGGAAGTACTGACAGCGAGGAGGAAGAGGCTCAGCTCAGACGGGTTATAGGAAGTTAGTTGGAAGCGACAGACAACCACTTAGCATTCCTCACAGTGGAACCACTTAGCATTCCTAACAGCGCACTTGAACATTTACCTTGTTTCGTTATAGTGAGGTGAAGGTCCAATGTTGTTCTTGAGTGGTCGTGTAAATACTGAAGGGCGAGAATATACAGGTCACCATTTGGCTCTCAAGTGTGCGCCCTGACGGAGAAGTTCCACACCTTTGCTTCAAAGAGGCATCTATCACTTAAAGAATCCACTAGACTATCAAGCAACTCAGTCAACGCACAATAGGAGATCAGACACCACATAGGGCTAGCTTATTTTTTGGCCACCAAGTGCTGGATTTGGGATCATTTGAGTTCGTTTGGGATCAGTTTCTTCACAGCACACTTGAAACCTTGGCCCAATGAGACATCCAGTGCATCCAGGCTTTGATGCAGCTGGAGAACCAGGACACACCTAAAGACGAGAAGGATGCCAGCGACATTGAGTTGGATCCAGGTGAAACCACGAGGCAGGATCAAAGTCAGTTGCAAAATGGGAAAAATTGTTTGGGTACAGGGGGGGGGTGCCGACAAAGTGTCCTCCCTGTTTTGGTGCTTTGCTCTTGATTTGCTGAAGTAGTGCACAAAGGAAATGCCATTATAATCCATGATATAGACTATGTGTATATATACATAGGATTGTATTGGCAGTACAACATTCAAAAAGCAAAGTTCCTGGCTGTTTAATCCAGAGGGCGCTTCTATAAGCTTTGTGAACCCAAACGGTTATATACCCTCCAGCAAACAAATCACATGTGGAAGTGGAAAACCATGCATTTGTTTGTAAAGGAATATGGTCTTCCAGGGGCTCATTTTCATTTTCCACTTCCATGTTAAGAAGTCCAAGTGCAAAGGGTTTGTGCATACTCCACCACCAATCACTGCACCGTCACGGGCCTGCCAGCAAGCTGCAGGTTCCCGAACCTGGTGAATGTACAGGCCCGGCGGTGTGGGGATTTTCTGCGTCCGGAATCCTCGGTCGAACTTCATGAATATATATAGGCTATAGGAATATTATTACATCCGACATCCAAGGCGGCAGTCTACCGGCCACGTGTTTCATGGTGTTTATCATTGCTGTGATTTGCTGTGCGAATCTCAATATCCTTTAGGATGGACACCGCAATTTCCATGGAGGAAAACCAACAAGATCTCTCGGTTTTCCCCGGGCAAAGTCACTTTCAGTCTTGACCAAGTCCAACCGTTGCGTGCCGGCGCCAGGTGTCTCAACCAGCTCGGGAGATGATCCTCTACTGGGCACGGCAAGCGCGGAAGCGCATGAAGCGCCGGAGGACGTGTGGCCGAGACTGCCGCCGTGACGATTCGTTGAGCTGTGCGAGGTGGGACATGGATATTCGGTGAATTTAGATGATATAATAATACAATATATTGGTGCCCTCTTCCGTGTTGAAATTGATGCCCGGACCAGTTGCTATGTTTTGGCTCAATTCTGCTCATGTTGAATGGAACATCCGAATCTGTGGGTGGTTTCTCCTGCCAGGACCATTCGCTACCAACCCTCAAGCTCTGAAGAGGAGTCTGAAGAAGAAGAAGATGATGATGGATGCTTGTCCAACTTTTGCATTGTCCTGTGGGTAGCATTCAGTCGATTCATTCTGCGGCTTAGTATGTAGCTGCTAACTGGATACTGAGGGCGGTCATGAATCAACCAGATTGGCTGACAGGTCTTACCATGTTTGCATGGCGATATTACAACCAATGTTGGAACACCTGCCGGGTCAGTCCACTGGTCCACTGGCTGGTTCTGAGTTGTTGCCACTTCTCAGCATCTCCCCATGCCAGCCGCACTAAGAAGACACGCCCGAAGAGGCCGACTAAGCAGCCTTCAGGTGCGCTGAGGATTAACCAAAGGGAGGAGAATGTATTGCAAATTGCAAACTGTGAAATAACGTATATAGTAGCAAGTAAGACGAACAAGTAGTTAACAACACGTGTTTGTTTCTTCTTTGGTCTATGCTGAGTGAGGTAGTATGTTGTACTGGAACTTGATGTTTCAAGGGCTTTCTTGTGTTGGCAGTTGTATCGCGTACCTGGGTTGTAAGACTGCCGACCAGTGTCCGTTGCGACCATTTTCTTCAGCTTGTGTGCCCATTGGCCTCGCCAGGCTTCGAACCGATTGTACAGAGATGATGCCTGACTGTCAGTTCCGTATGGAACAAAAAAGAGCCACTCACCTTCCATTCACCTTCCTTGCCGCATTTCACCCTCCAAATAAGTCACGTCCAAAAATTGTTTATTATGTTTATCAGCAGGTCCTCATATTGATGCAAGCTAGTGGTTTTGCAGGCCCTCATTCTCAGCCCTTGGAGCCACGTGTTGCTCAGTTCCACATGAAACCACCCATTTCATGCGGTGTTTGGACATCGTTTTGAGCAGCTCTGAGATGGTTCAGCACCATAGGATAGCAGCTGTCCAGGATTGCCTACATCTAGCCCCAAAGAATGCTTTTGGAAAATTGTGCTCATGACACCGCCAGCTTCAGCTCCATGCATGTCTTGTTGAGATTCATGGATTGGTTTCCTCTCATAGCCTCCGCGGCTTTGTGGTTCCAGCGCGCCACGCGCGCCATGGAGGCCCTTCCACAGGGAAGTGTGCCCTTCCGGCGTTTGTCGGCGCCGACATCGCGAGTGGCCAGCGAGTGGCCGGACTTCGAGGCAAATGCTCCAGGCAGCTGGAAGATCGACTTCTGCAGCCGTCCTTTGGCACGAATTGAGTTCCGTTTTGCTGCCTGGAGTTGTCGAAGCACAATACGATGCATGAAGCTGTGTATGCGTGTATGATCATGTGCAATATATATATCGATATATGTATATATATCACGAAAGGTAGCGGTTACGCTACCTGAGTTTTCCTTTTGCTTTAGCAAAAATGTATTAACCCAGAGCTGCAGCCTATCTCTCGGAGAAATGGTCCCCGACATGTTCGTTTGGGGGGGGGGCCCCCCCCCCCCCCGGCCCTTCAACTCCACCCTAGCGCGCCTCGGGGTCAACCGTTCGAAAACACTGTAAATATCAGTGTTTTCAGCTCTTCCAGTCCTCAGCAGTGACCAAAAATCATGGAATTTACAGCGTTTTTTGTGGCTGTCCGGCAAAAAACACCGCAAAAACCGATGGTTTTTGATGCGTCTCGGTTAGAAAAATGACCGAAAAAAAACAAAAACCAGGAAAGATTTTGTCAGAAAGGGTTTTTGAGGCTTTTGGAGGCTTCAAAATTGCACAAAACTATGGTATTTACAGGGTTTTGTGCACCTTCCCGGCAGAAAACGCCGGTATTTACACGGTTTTCTGCGCTTTTCCAGCGCTCAACCGTGGTGCGCCTTTGGATCGACGGCTACAAAATACCGTAAATACCAGTGTTTTCAGCTCCTCCTGTCTTCAAGCGTGGCCTTAGACCTTGCCGCGGCTGTGGATCGACAGCAACGAAACCTCGTAAATACCAGTGTTTTTGAGCACGTCCTGTTTGCAAGCATGGCCTGCGGCCACGCAATTTACAGGGTCGCCGCACGTCACTATGTAAATCCGAAGTTGCATTTGAGAAATATGTGACTCCTTTTGAAGGCACGTCAACCTGTATTGAAACCGCTAGACCGCTACAGCTTCTGGAGGTTTTGTCAAGCGTTTGTGCACTAGTCTTTCTTTCATAACGCTCACTCACTTCTCTTCAAACAAGTGGGGGGCCTCTCACCTCCTCCCGGATTACGCCTGATTCCCTGCTACCTTTCGTTCACCCCCCTCCTCTCTCAAGTATATATGCTCATATGCACAATGCACAGTATACTGTCAGGAAGCTGCTGTGGACCATGGAAACCGTTTGCATCATTAACGTTCGGAAGTGGAAATCGGCCGGGGAAAGCAGTCTTGCAATGGGCCATGTTCCACTTCCATGTTTGTTTGATGGAGGTTATGTGCTTTAGGCAGCAAAAAGGTGCTCGATCTCTGAGAACTCGCTATGCACTTCGTTGGACCAGCTGTGTCAACAAGTTACGGGCACCCAACAATCCAACCCAACAATCCAATTGTTTGGCATCACTGCCATTGGAAGATATTACAGTGTTACTACCGGACACGACAGGACAGATGTGCAACGAACGTGTTGCCCCCCCC